ACTCCTTTTATCTAAATCATCCTTCTCAGGCTCCCAGACTAATGTTGAACCTTTGAAGGACTCTTCTTTGTTCACAGATCTAGTTATATCATTCCTCTGCTCAAAATCCTTCAGTGATTGCCATAGTAAAGGCTCTCTTGCCTGGAATTCAAGGTCCTCCTGAATCTTATGCTGTCTTTGCTTTTCTAGCCCTATTTTATAGAATCATAGACTCTGAGTTGGAAGGGGCTCCAGAGAATGTCTAGTCCAAACCATACCTGAACAGAAATCCCTTTTCTAGGATTCTTCATAAGTGGCAATCCAACTTCCACTTGGGAATCTCTAGTGAGGGCTTCTTCTATTACTCCCTTTCATGTATTCTCTGTTCCAGTCAAACTAGGTGACTGTTGCACTGAACATGCCCCATGTTCTCTTGCTTATGAGTTTTTATTCCTGCTCTTCTCTATGTGGGGAATGTTCTTCCCTCCCTCCCTTTTCCCTATTGAAATTTACCTCATCCTTTGCTTCCCAGCTCAAATGTAATCACTTCTAGGAAGCCTTCCTAATTCCCTCTAACCCTTATCAACAGTGAGCTAGGACTTCACATAATATGTGGCTTGGGCTTTTCTAATGTATTTATCCTGTATCATTTCATATCATGTAGTAGTTGCTGTATACGTGTGGTCCATGGCACTTTGTACTGAGGACACATTTAAGGAATTTTTGTGAAAGTGATCAGCTCTATTCAGGGTCTAGTGACCTTGTTGACACTTGCCTGGCCAAATGTGGTGAGGAGTTAGGTCAGGAGCAAAACTGAGAGGAGAAGGGATCATCTTCCTGTGGAGAAAGAACTGAGTCAGTTTGGGGACTTTCTAAAAGTTTTCCTCCTTTTCTCCTGAAACTAGAGTTAGCCATTTCATTTTCTGTCTTTAAGATAGACCAGGAGAAACTGAGGTTAGTTTATAGCTCAACAGACACCTACTATGTGTAATCCTACCATCTATAAGAATTCATTCCTGATTACCCTTAATTTTAGTGCTTTCTCTTTGTTGATTACCTCCAATTTATCCTACGTATACATCTTGTTTGTTCCTAGTTTGCATGTTGTCTCCTCTGTTAGATTGTGAGCTCCTTGAAAACAAAGACTGGCTTTTGCCTCTTTCTGCATCCCCAGCATTTAGCACAGTGCCTAGCACATAGTAGGCACTTAATAAATGTTTATTGACCAACTGACTGGGGGAGATACAAAGTTTCGATGAGACATGGTCCCCATCCACAAGCAGATTCCTCTTTACTAAGAAAATTGAGGCCATTCATTCTGAGCTTGCTCTTCTCTTCATCTTAGATATCTTGACATCATCTCCCACTCTACTCCTTTTCCTTAACCACTGATAATCAGGTGGCCCACCTCTTTGCTGAAACTAAACCTTCTACATATGGACTTGATCCCCCCTCCTCTTGTCTTGTCCAGTAGATTTCAACCTCAATCATCGCTGTCCCTCTAATATTAAACTTCTCCCTCTCTGCTGGCTCCTTTGCTCTTGTCTTTATACATGCATGAGTCTTGCCCATAATTTAAAAAAAAAAGCATTCATTAGAATGCTTTCAAGCTATTGTCTTATAGTTCTCCTCCCTTTTTCAACCAAACTCCTAGAAAAACTGTCTATACTTGTTGCCACCACTTTCTCTCTTCTCATTTCTCCCTCAGCCTTTGCCATCTATCATTTGACCACATCAGTCAACTGATACTGCTCTCTCCAAATTTACCAATGGTTTCTTGATTATCAAATCTCATAGTATTTTCTCAGTCCTTATCCAACTTAATCTCTATGCTGCAATTTGATACTGTTGGCCAACCTCTTCTGTTGGAAACTCTCTTCTCTCTAGGATTTCATGACACTACTCTCTCCTGGTTCTCTTTCTTCCTGTCTGATCTCTCCTTGGACTTCTTTGCTGACTATTAACCTTTTCACATCCACAATTGTAAGTGTTCCCCAAGGCTTTGCCATGGTGCACTTCTTTCCTCTATGCTGTCTCAATTGGTCATGGGGCTTCTTTGGGTTTAATTGTCATTTCTATTCAGATGACTCATAAATCTATCTATCAAGTCCTAGTTTCTCTCCTGAGCTTTAGTCCCATAACACCAACTGCCTTCCTGCTTATTGGGCATTTCAACCTAGGTGTCCCGTAGACATCTCAAACTCAACATGTCTACAACAGAACTCATAATCCTTTCCCCAAAATCTTCCCAACATGCAAACTTTACTATTTTTGTTGAAGGGACCACCATTCCACCAGTCTCCCACATTTGTAACTCTGGCATCATTCTCATCTCATCAGTCCCTCTCACCTCACATATCCAATTTGTCAAATTTTGCTATTTTTTACCTCCACAGTATCTCATAGTCAACCCCTCCTCTCTATTCCCACAGACCACACTTTAGTTCAGATTCTTTCTAACTTCACTGCACATTATTCTCCTTCCTGCATTCTACCATTAAGCCAAACTGGCCTCAAACATGGCTCTCTATGTCCTGTCTCAGTGCCTTTGAACTGACCACCCTCCGCACCTGAAAGCCAAGCAGTAGGGATTGTTTCCTTTTTTTTTTTGCACTCAAAATGTCTTACAGTAATACATTACAGCTCATTACAGTAATACAGTAATTACAGCCTTAATAAATACTTGTTGATTATGACTTGATCTTCTAATTCAAGAATTCAAGAAGACTCATTGCTGGTCTTCTAAAACTTTAGTATGCACACAAACAACAATAAAAAATTGTACGTGATAAATCTTTCACACCTCTGAACGCTTCTAGAGATTAAGTAGTCTCATTGTATGTTAGTCCTCATTGTGTTCTCTGTGATCTAGACAAACTGGCTGCTTTTCACACATGACATTTCATCTCTTGTCTCCGTGTTGTTCCACTGGCCCATTCCCCTGCATCCTCAACTCTTCCTTGTCAAAGCACTTTTTTCTTTCAAGACATGACTCATGCACACCTTCAACTGAAGCCTTGACTTGATCTCTTTCTCTCA